CGGATATTTCTGGACTATTTTGTTAAGGACAGCTATATAGAGAGTAAATATCACCGGTCCAGCACAAGAACCCTGGGGAACCCCGAACCTGTGTGGTTCAGTATCCGATGAGAACTGTTCAATGACAACTTTCTGTCACAACAGGTGCAAGCAAATGAAGATTTTCTTTCAGCTTTGGTGTTGGCATAACGTCCAACTCACATGTTGTTGACTTTGATTCACTCACAAGTTTGATTATGTCTTTTTCATTTAGTGGTATAAATTTGTTCATGATATTTTCACTTGATGGTACATCAGATGCCATAATACTATCAATCACTGAAGATGATGTTTCTGTGTTTATGTTATCCAGATCATCACGAAGTTTAAGGATTTTGTCACTAAAGTAACGCAAGAAATCGTTTGCAAGTGCCGTCTCTCCTTCGAACGCCCAAGCAAGTCTGAAGTCACTCTATATAACTTCTTCACATTCCCTTCAGCCTCTCCTATTCTACTCTGATAGAACCCATCCTTTGCTGATGCTATTGCCGCAGTATAGGAGTTTCTTACATTATTGTACACTATTTTTGTGAGATCCGACCTGTCCTTTAAGTATATTTTCTCTATTGATCTTTTGTACTGTTTTTTAATTGCTTAAGATATCCAGAGTACCATGGAAGTTTGGGTCTAACAGTAATTGATCTTTCTTTCAATGGAGCATGTTTACAAATTATATCAGATGCAGTCTTTGTGAAATCAGACACAAGTTCATTCACGGTAGATGATTTCTCTGCCAAACCGTTTAACTCTTCAAGATCGGCTTCTAACAAGTTCTTCGACACACATTTCCAGTTACGTGATATGATGTTTTTTGTGACCAAAGGGGGACAGAATTGTTGAATATTACAACTAACAAAACAGTGATCAGAGATGTAATAGTCAGACTGAAGATTGGTTACACTAGCAAGTTTGTCTTCCTTTTATGTGATGATCAGGTCAATAATATGCCCACTAGAATGAGTTGGAGTGTTCACATGCTGAACAAGTCCATATGATTTCAAACATTGTTGGAATTGCTTGGTGTAAAATTTTATCAAAATACATTTTTTTTATCAAAAACATGAATGTGTCTCAAACATGAACTCTTTGTGATCTTTTAAAAGATGAACAAACTGGCCTTATTTACGACCAGACAGGTCTCAAGTTTCACTACCGGAAATACTGGTTACACATTTCAACAGAGACATTTTTACGTTAATAAGCATGTTTTTCTCAAAACAACACCACCATCGTTTTTTTTTTATTTATAAAAAATGATTATCTGACATCATATATAGCCGTGTATTAAAGGTTGGTTGCAATATAACATTTAGATTGCATATGATGAGAATCCTTTTAATTTCATTAACAGTGAAAAGTTCAAAAAGTCAGTGAAGTAGAAATAAAGCATAGACAAGTAAAGTATACGGTATTTGTTCTTTGTTTCAGTCCTACTTCAATGACGTACAGTAATAATGTATTTTTTGAAAACGGCATTGCTTTCATATGCCGTCGTTTATATTTGCATATGCACAACAAATGCAGTATTCATGCGTCAAAATACAGTAAAATACCATTACGTTACGCGTTGGTTTTATGTTACCTTAAGATCGACCTATGGCCATTTTTAGCCTCTCACAAGTCCAAATTTTTTTTTTGGCGACGAGGGGTCAACCCCCCCCCCCCCCAAAAAAAAAACACAGAAAGGACACGTCCCTCCTCTTGCACCCCTTCATGCACCTTGTTGTACCTTTTTGATAGGGGGCGGCGCTGAAAAAGTGGTGAAAAACAGTGTTTTGGGCCTAAATAGGGCATCTTGTCACTATTTTAGGCCAAAAATGGGGGGGGGGGGGTGAAAAGTCGTCAAAACACGTCTAATATGAGATAAAAGGTTAAAAGTGATTTGAAGTTTTGTTCAGATTGAAAAATGCAAGCCTATAAGATATAAAGTGTAAGAAGGGTTAAAAAGAATTAAAAGACTAGATATACCATTTACAGTCATATTGCAGGTACATTATTACTACCCTGTTAAAATTGTTTTGTCCATCGTCAGCTGACAACACTCTGTCTTACCGGCGGTTTTGATGACATATTGCTAAAGAGATGACAGAAATATAAAATGTATTGATTACTACTGGTAAATTAGAATACTATTTTACATCATTGCACGGGTGAAATGTTTGAAATTATTGCCAACAAGTCACATTGAAAAAAAAGTGAGTGTTATTGAACTTTTTACAACACGATTTTTCTTTAGAAACGAAATTAGCATTTCGCTTATGCGCATTCTGCATAGGGTAAAAGAAGAATATTTTTATCAGTATTCAACACCTTTATATACAATTGAACTAAATGAAATTAACATAAGTAGTTTAGAATAGTTTATTTCAATAAATAACAGATGCAATGATGAATTTAAGTAATTTACTTGAACATGTCTGCATATACACAGGCAATCGATTCTGACAAAGAAGTACCTTCGTATACAAACATAAAAATTTAACCATCTCTTGCATTAAAGAGTGCTTAAATGAGTCACTTGGACATACATGTATCTTCGTTTAAAGTACTCGGTAAAAGTGTCATTATTGAGAGTGTCATTATCAAAGCACTGAAGTCATGGAAGCGAATTCGATGGGTAATATTCTTTTTAAATTCTCATACTCAAAGGCTTTTATAAACGTGATTTCAATGTCAATCGGAAAGCAGCAAATTTGGCATGGTTTAAAGTCGTAAGTATTTAAAATTTGATTTGATATTTATAACAGATATAAGAAAATATGTGGGACTAACTGATACAACGATCCAAAGCACATGTGAAGTCTCTGTTTAAACAGGGTCTTTCATATAGAATTCGAAAGACTCTCATTTAAAGTATCATTCAACGATTTTTTCATTAATAATTTAAATTGAATTATTAATTTTTATTTCCCATGTTTTATGTAACATTACCCAAACGGTACTGTACACTTCCTTTGATACCTATCTTATCAATGGTTTGGGATTAATTTTGTGAAGTTACAAATAGTTTGGGTTGCATTTGCCTAGATTTTAAAAATGTGTGATCCTTATCATTATGTTAAAATTAATGAGTTTTGCTAAATTGACCATATAACTTTGTTATGGCGGGTAAATTTAATTGTTTGCAGTAATAGAAAGGTCAATTAGTTAAAAAAGACAATGTGTACATCTACGTCCTGAACATTGACTACATTAACTCGTACAATGAAGCAAAGCACTGTTGCACCGCATATAGCTCTCAACGAACAAATTACTGTAATTGCAACGATGCAGCTCCCAACGATGGAGAGTCGTATTGCCCGATTTTGACTGATAAAGCCCTTAATATTATGATGATAGAATATAAGCATTTCAAAAGATTGTCAGAGGCATGTCTAGACTCAAACGCAACTTGTACCAGCAATCGTTAAAAAACTAAGGGAAGCACTATTTTGAATACTTTTTGTATATTTACAGTCCCTTTTACTGCCTAAATGGTATTACAGCGTGGATAAAATGGTAAAATATATTATACAAATTTTGAAGAATTGAAGCAAATAGCAATTCAAAGGAATTCCACTGAGTTCCAAAAGTCTTAACACATTGAATTTGATATTTTTACATAGATAAGTCGGGGCACTTAAAACAGAAATATATGCAAATTATAAATAAGAAATATACTGAAAATCGTTTTTGTGGTATTTATAGTTCGATCTAAGTGAAAAGCGTACTAACACTTTTCAATTTTGTGTCATTTTTTCACAATTAAAATAATTATTCTGGAAAAAGGGAGTGAGCGAATGATCTGAAATTTTGCACACAAGCTAATGGTCAGCATACCTTCATCAAAAGAATGATCATTAATCTTAAACAATAACTTCCAACCCCCTTTATGTTAAAAGTTATGAAGTCTGCATATCACAGACAAGCTGTCAAAAGGCAGTAAAACCGACACTATAATAGTTATATGGCGACTGTCTAGGGAAGACATTAGAAACCCTTTTTACCGTCTTTTTATTTGCATTTTGTAATAGGAATTTGAATCATAGTTGATCCATTTTTATTCATGTATCACCTTTATTTTTAACATAATTGTTTGTTTCTACATGTTTTCGTATTTTTGCCGCTTAATTACGTGTTTCGGGCGTTTTTACAACGCGTTCTCCGTTATGACTCGATGCAAGTTATTCTTCTATGCTGCGTTTGAATTAAGGCAGTTCATGTCTGTCTTTATTCCAAATATTGATAAAGGAGGAGTTATTAATCGATCCTTGATTGAGTGCTTCTTCTAGATGTAATGGGAGCTCTAAACGTATTGATATATTTGGGAACTACAAATAATTCAGGGATGGCTTTGTTTTTTGTAAAATGTTTTAAATATGTAAACAAAGATGACACTTAAATAAGATATTAGTCAAGTTGTATTGTATTTAATTTGCCGTTTTACTTTATGGTTGTAGTTGATTACATTATTTCTGAATTAATTACATCATAAGTTGTACCACTCCACTTGCTGGCGGGATATATGGGAGAATATAGCCTTACTTCTTGCGCGTCAGGTCGTATATAAATAGCGCGAGCTGAGGGAAATATTATGTCAGCCAGACTATATTTTACCGTATATCCCGACAGCATCTTGTAAAACGAATTTAAGACAATTTAATGTGATTTTTTTCATCGAAAAGCGAGAAAAAAACGCATATATAGAAGATGATATGAGAGGTTCTGAAAACAATAATTAATTTTATGCACACGCGAACATGTAAAAACTCGTGTTATTTATAGTTTTACGCGTTTCCGTTCTTTGTGGTATAAACAGCATACTATACAAAGTGTTTAAACCAATCAGAATTCGAGAAAATTATTTGCACTATTATAAGAATCGACATACGGTATAGCTGAAAGCCAAATAATAAGATAAAACTATGAAACACATTTCTGAGGAAAACACTAATAAAGAACAAATCCTTTGCATGTTGCAATGTCCTTTATTTTATCGAATAACACATTATTTTGTAAGTAAAACATCAACTTTGATATATTTTAGCAAACAGATTATGTAAAGCCAACATTTTTTTGCGAGTTTTTGTTTATTCATTTGTTCACTTTTTCGCACACACACAACCCAGTATGTGTAATGCTAACTCAGTTTAAGTTTTGTGGTTACAAGTTCTAAGTTAGATGCAAGACATTACCTAAAGCAATGTTGCACAATGTCCAAGTTTCTTACATCATTAAAAAAAGGTAAACTTGCATCAACAAAACACTAGAGATTGCTGCAAATAATCTTTGATTTTCTCTGAGGATAAGTAACACTTGGATTCATCATTAATGGTACTGGTTTCATTCCAAGTTTTCAAGTAAGCAAGGTCACAAGTACAAACAATTTGGGTATTGTCTAATCCCAAAGAATATAGATTAGAAAGAGCAATAACAGCAGCCGGTATTTGGTGTAGCCATGTCTCGCTTAAATCAAGATGTGATAATTTCAAATTGTTATTGAAAGCACTTTTTGAGATATACAAAATCGGGTTACCTTTGAGACCTAGTACAATCAAGTCTTCAAGCTTTGAAATGTCTGGGTCGACAACACTGCTAATGGAATTGTAAGCTATATATAACTTATGTAGTGATTTCAAATAATTCACTCCAAAGGGAATTCGTGAAAAATTATTCATATTCAGATTGAGATCATATACAGTGAAATTTGAAGAATCGAAGGAGTCCCCATCCATAACAAGAAATCCATTATTGTTGGCTTGGATAGTTGGGATTCTATAAAATATCTTTTGTAAGTCTGGAAATATTTTAACATCATTATCATTAAAATACAGATGGGTCACTTGTAAACGATCTGTTGTACAAGACCTCGTATTGAATAAATTACGATGATGATTCAATGAAAAGTTTAGAGTATGCAGTGCCTGAAATATACAAAAGGCATGTGGGATTTCTTCTAACCTTGAGCTGTGTATCTGTAAATCCCTCAATGTAGTTTCAAGTCCATGGAAAGCATTTTGTGGTATGACACTAAATGGTATGTAGCCTATTTCAAGGACACTTATCTTTCTCAAATACTGTAACTCGTGAGGCCAATACTGAAAAAGGCCCATGTCAAAAGATAAATCTGTAAGAGAACGTCCCATGTAGACCATCGTTTGTGTATTCAGATTTAATAACGGATTTCCACTTAAGTATAACACGCGTAGATTTGTCAGTTTTTCAAACGCCTTTGGAATGGATGTCAAATTATTGTGTCTTAAAGAGAATGTTGTAGAAGCATTCATTAGCCAATCAAATGCCCCGTCACTTATTGTGTGAATATAATTGTTATCAAAATTTATGCTACACCATTTGTTTGAACTTTGGATTTTGAAAATTCCTGCCTGTATGGTTATTATATGATTCTCGCTAAGGTCAAAACGGCAATGTGGAGTTCTTGGAATCCAAGGAACAGTCAGCAATGAATTGTTACTGCAGATGAAGGAACCTGCTGTACAAGTGCAGTTGTTAGGACAGTAGTCTCCATTTGTTTGTAGCAAGAAACAACAGTATCGTTCAAACAACATCTGCACCAGCAACGCCTATGTAACAGAGGGAAAGCAGATCATCAAGTTAAAACATACCTGCCTTATTTTAGCAAAAACACGTATAATCATAGGTCACACAATTTATGGATATGGAATGTTAATTCATTTCTATAATGATTGTTTTCGAGACAAATTTAATGATCAAGGCAAGTTTATAAATTTTAATCCAACGAGTTCAATAAAATTCGCAATGAAGCTACACAAATATACGATTCTATTTATTACATATCCAAATAAGAACTGTTTCCAGTAAGAAAGAGACCCGCTTAAAGTTTAACTTTTATGCTATATTTGTATTAGGCAAATGACGTCACGTCAAAATTGTATGAACGGGTTTTGTGGAGACTCAAAAGTAATGACGACACACTTTAATAAGAGCAAAAATGGGTCGAATACGATTTGTTTAATATGAATTATATTTGAACATTAAGAGGTAACACGAAACATTGTCAACATTTTTTTCTTATATAGTGAATGTCGCAGGGGTATAATATAAGTGTCAATTGGGATAATTAGAAGGAAATTGTTAAAGAAAAATCAGTCTAAGTGAAAAGGATATGTACACAGCTCAAGTCGACTTGATAAAATATGGTTCGTATGTTGGAGAGGGACCGGTAAATATTGTTATCAAAATCGTACCTGAACAATTACAAATATGGAGTACATCACTTTGTCTGATCGAGGATATAAAGAGCGGTTACAGTATTGTATGAAGCAACAGTATCTGTAAGAATAAATTTTATTCAGTATCATGTACATAAATCATAGGTAATGAAAGATACAATATACGAATAAGGAAGAGGTAAAAAAATAAATTGAAAACATGAATACTGTTATTTAAACTGTTAATAAAATTTGGTTTAACATTTATAAAATAACATTTCTGTTACTGTTACACCTGACACGGAAACAAAAACATATTAAATGAATCCTAACAAGAATCTTTTAATTATATATTGCAATTAAATTTGTCTATTAATAACCTCTGATCATTTTTCAAAAATTCAACTTTTATTAAGTTTCGCCATTTGTTTACAAGCATGTTATTCCTTTGAGATAACTAATCCTTGCCATCACTCTTTTACCGATAAAATTTTCTGAAGTATTATAAATCTCACCAATACTAAAGTCACAATATAGTGCATTTACAACAATTTTTTATAAGTCATGATTGTTCAGTATCTAAATATATCATTTGAAAACCAACTTTTAAGGTGTTCGTAAAAATCTATGTTATCTTTTAATCATATTTGTCTGTATTAACGAATTAGGTCGCATCATGTAGGTTAGACTTATGCTTAAATCTATATGAACGTTAAGTATTGCATTTAACACTTCTCTTATGTCGCTTTTTATTTATATCATCATCTCATCCAACTATCAACTGTGAGTCAAAATATTGTCTACGTATATATCAAAAGTTCACCATTTCGTGTTAAATGTTGAATTCTGCTTAAGCAGGTGCTAGGAGATGTGGTCGTATAATGAACAACAAAATGAATTTCGAACCTACATTAAATGTCGCATAAGGCTTTATATAGCTGCAACGCTGATATATAATCAATTGTGTCGCATTTAAGGACCTCAGTCTATTTCAAAGCACACCAGCTGTAGGTGGGTCAAAGTTTTTCTAGCCGGGACATTGTCTGTCAAAGATGACTACCGTTCAGGTAGGCTTTCAACCTCGTTAACCAAGGCAAACATTGCTTCTGTGAAGGTTATAGCAGAGCAGGATGAAAGATTCAGTAAAGGAAATAACTAGTTGTACTGCCATATCTGAAGGCAGTATTTATTCAATTCTGACAAAACGATTGATCATGCCAGATGGGGACCCAATTTGCTCATCAAGGAAGAAAAGAGACAGCGTCTTTAGTGTTCCTAAGATTCTTTAAAATATACGAGGGTTGTCCCAAAATGTCGTAAACTACATTATTTTCTCTTCAACCTGACGTCATAACTTAATAAAATTTACCAGATATCTTCCTTGGTCATTTTGTAATTTACCTACTTAAAGTCAATAGCCAATATATAAGGTAACGCTTTTTATCAGGGTTTTATATTTAACAGTACAACATACCCGGAGCACGGTAAAATATTTGTCAGTGTTGAGAGCATGCTTCTTAAAATAATGCCTTTAACTTCTAGCATAATAATAATTATGGGAAATACATTCATGTGGAATTACGTCATTCATTTTTACGTCATATCACCAACAGACGTTTATGTAACGTTAATTTGAAAAAGTTTGTAGCAAAATACGTAACAGCAGTGCTATTTTGAAAAAGCCCAAAATGGCGACGTCAGATGAAAATGCGGCGCAACGCAATGTCATTGAATACTGTGTTAAGTTGAAGAAGCGTCCAACGATTATTGACAACATGGAGAACATTATATTTTATCAAGATAAAGTTTTCGAACCTGCAGCTGTGACCTCGTAATTGTGATTTCAAATAAGGAAACACTGCAAAGTATTAAGGCGTTTCATAAAAATATTTCCAGTCTCTGAAAACATCACATCAAGTTCAATCTGTGTCTCCTGAGATCTATAGCAAGGTGCATTATCTTGATAAAATATAATGTTCTCCATGTTGTCAATAATCGTTGGACGCTTCTTCAACTTAACACAGTATTCAATGACATTGCGTTGCGCCGCATTTTCATCTGACGTCGCCATTTTGGGCTTTTTCAAAATAGCACTGCTGTTACGTATTATGCTACAAACTTTTTCAAATTAACGTTACATAAACGTCTGTTGGTGATATGACGTAAAAATGAATGACGTAATTCCACATGAATGTATTTCCCATAATTATTATTATGCTAGAAGTTAAAGGCATTATTTTAAGAAGCATGCTCTCAACACTGACAAATATTTTACCGTGCTCCGGGTATGTTGTACTGTTAAATATAAAACCCTGATAAAAAGCGTTACCTTATATATTGGCTATTGACTTTAAGTAGGTAAATTACAAAATGACCAAGGAAGATATCTGGTAAATTTTATTAAGTTATGACGTCAGGTTGAAGAGAAAATAATGTAGTCTACGACATTTTGGGACAACCCTCGTAGTTGGAAAAAGATGAACAGATGTCCCTCCTCATCAGTACAAAGAATACAGTTCTACAAGAATTCTTTACTAAACTAAAGTGAAGGTGTTATACAATAAGAATCAAAGGATGGTGAGGAGTTAATCATTGACATGACAGAGATTGTTGAGGCTTTCTAAGAGATTGAAAATGTTAAAGTTGGAAAACAATCTGACTAATTCTCCTGACTCAAGTCCTTGCGACGTGTTTCCGTGTCACAGGCTTAAGAAAATGCTTTTTGATAAAAAGTAATCGCCAAGGCGTTCTCTGACAGCGAATTTTATCAGTGTCTATGACAAAAGTAGATTACTTTTATCTTTTCGAAACTGGACAGGGAGGATTCAAAAATGCATTTCGGTAAACAAGGAATACCTTGAAGATTAACAATACAAAATTGTGTTCTTTCTTTTTTTCTTTTCTTCTGATTTTAGCAATTTAACAGTGATATAAATAAAAGATAATGAAACACCGGGTGAACGCTGGTTACCTCTCGGGTATACCGAAAATCTAGAACAAAGAATTAATTTCGCTGTTGTACTTCTTGTACAAATTCGAACGAATGATATTAAAATGTAAATACCTTCCTGAGAGTATCTACATGTATAAAAAGGGCAAAAGTAATGTTTAAAAAGCTGTATGCCGTAATTCGTTTCTTTCAATTGAATTTACAACAAAATAATAGGTGGCTTTTTACCGTCTTGTACGTTTCTTTCAAGGATTTGCACTAGTCAGCGTTTATTTTTGTGCACAATTCCTGTGGCCTTGTCATATGCAGAGCTATTACGGATACACACGGTAAACATAAGAAACAACACAAAATATCGAGGCTTTTCTGCGACAATTTGATAATCTTTCAATAGAGACGCACAATAAACAAAATAAAACATTAACATATCGCATGCATTGTCCCGTAGATGGTCATCATGAATGTAATAATTTCTACCCAATTTCAAGCTAATAATAGCCTTTGCATCTAGTATATACAGCACTTTGATTATTTTTGTTGCGTGACCTTAAACGATACTTAATTTTATAAGTTTATTGTCACATCATCGTTGTTTGTGACATTAAGTGGCCTTTAGATTCAATCAAATCTTTGAAAATCGTTCCCAACCAAATTTTTGCTGTGTGTTTTGATTTCCTTACACCATTCCTTTTCCTCCTTGAATATAATACAAGCACGGTGACAATTATACAAGATTAATATTTCAGAAATCTAATAACTGTATTCTTATTTCTTACAATACCCTGTTACTACATGCATTTTTCATATTCGTTCGGTCCTTGGTCATATAATTTAAGACATTGTGAAGAAATTAAAACACCAAAACAAAAAGATGCAATACCATAGATTAGAAAAGTATCTATTTATTTATTGTCTATATGACAAACCCATGTTTGATTTTTTATTAGATCAACTTTCAAAGCATTTACAAAATACTTAACTCACTTACCAACTTATGTTTTAATCCGCCCAAATTCTTTACAAAAGAATGATAAAAACTACTTGACAGAATGAAAAAAAAATTGTTAAGTTCATTATTTATATCTCATGTTGATTCTTATCTTTTCTCGCTAAGGGAATTGGCAGATGTGAGTGTCTTAAAGATAATTCATGCTTTCAAACAAGGACACAAAGTGACATGATTACTTTCACACGATAAGTCATTATACATGTGAAAACAAAATATGTGTATGTAATGTCACTTTAAGCCTTCGAAATAAATTACGAGCAGTTAAGGCTGTTGTACGTTTTGTCGCAGGCTCGGTTTGATTGAGCCTGTTCAGGGACATAAAACAATTTTATTTAATCAATTAATTGGTTGATTTTTTGTCTTTCTTAAGGTATGGTAGATTCAGTTATCAAAACTATGCAGTATACATTCAGTTATTTAATTTATTTACATGATTGATTGTGCATAAAATACCTTATCCTTATCACAAGAGTGCCACTTGTGAATTACCGATACTTTTATGTCATATGAAACAAGAGAGTCATGATTGACCATTCATCGCTCGAGTGATTAAGACCTGTGAATACTTTGTTAGATGATGCTCGGGCGAATGATGTGACAATACCATATTAAAAAAGTAGTAACATGCATTTAAGCCACAATTCATTGCCCTTGATCAAATGACCTTAAATGCCAAGAAAAAAATCCATTAATTACATATTCCATATTCGATAAATCTATTAACTTTTAGCCTTAATACCCTCCAGTGACAATATGCACAGGTTTATGCAATCTAATAAAATCTAATATACCAATCAATTAACAAATAATTGAATATAGATTTAATAAGGAATATTTAAAGAACTTATAGTAGCCCTGAAACATTGACAACGACAGAGAATTGTGCAAGATACATGTTTTTTCAGATGTGGTGCACATGTAGGAAGTAAAAATTAATTAGGAAAAACGGTCTCGACAAAACAAGTAATGAATTTTGAATAATTATTGCCAACCTTTTGGGAAAAAAATGGTAACACTGGGTGTGGATGTTTGCCGAAAATGCTAGATTCAAGAAATCGTGTATATATTTTGTTCCTCAAAATAAGAAACGTTCGTACTATATTTTTATTTGTTTGCGAAGGAGTCGAATCTTATGATTTTAAATAAATTTAGCCTACCGAAATTCATTCTAGTACAACACACACTTAATAAAGTGTACTTAAAACTCAAAAGACAGATACACTTTCAAGGGAATTTTATTTAACATATTTTTTTTACTTTTATTTGACATCAATGCATTTTTATATTGGTGTCCATGAATATTGGCCTAAACAATGAAAACCCATGGTCGCTCACTTTTCGCTCGCTTCCTTTGTTCTATTTATCGTAAAAAAAAATGCACGTACAGTACATTGTTTGCCTTGACTTTGAAACGGGCTATATCTGACAAATATACTGTTTTCTGTTATCGTCTGCTATTTATTACTTTGTTTCCTTCTAAGCTCAAAGTATAACTTCCATATAAAGATGACGCAGCACATAGATTCTGAATGCTTTGGACGTCTAGGTGTTATTACTTAAAACAACTAGAACTGTGTCCAAAGGACACGGATGCCCCCACTGATAGCATATATATGGTATATAGTGAAAAAATCAACAAAGGGCCATAATTCTGTTAAATTTGGTCGCAGCAAAAATTCCTTCCTTTTCTACCATCTACACATTAAGGTTGTTCATCCCTGGAAGTTTAAGCAAAATCTACCATCTGGTTTAAGAGGAATTGCGTTTACAAAATTTCTATATGGTATATAGTGAAAAAATCAACAAAGGACCATAAAATTCTGTTAAATTTGGTCGCAGCAAAAATTCCTTCCTTTAAGGTTGTTCATCCCTGGAAGTTTAAGCAAAATCTGCCATCCGGTTTAAGAGGAGTTGCGTTCACAAATTCCTACATAGTATATAGTGAAAAAATCAACAAAGGGCAATAATTCTGTTAAATTTGGTCGCAGCGAAAATTCCTTCCTTAACTACCATCTACACATTAAGGTTATTCATCCCTGGAAGTTTAAGCACAATCTGCCATCCGGTTTAAGAGGAGTTGCGTTCACAAGATTTCGGGACGTAGGGACAGACGTACGGACGGACGGATGGACGGACGGACGGACAAGTGCAACGCTATATGCTCCCACTTTGTTGGGGCATAATAACACCTACGAAGACGCAAACAGGCACCGGTTTCTAAAAATATGCACTCGCAATACTTGCAATGCTTATAAATGTGTTTGATTGCTATAAATTTACAAATGAAACTATGGTTGCATGGTTAGTTTTTGTCATTTATTTCTGGTCAAACATTGTTTGGAAAACATTCATCCGAAGGTACAAAATGAAGAAATCAAGTAAAATAGATCCTTTAAATCCTTTATTTAACGTCGAACCAACATAGTATACTGTACAAACGTATATGTAAATTTTGACCAAACTTTGTCTATGAACGTAAAATTACAATTGTTTCTTGTATTTTTATGGTTAAAGTTTTTATGACTGTTCAAATGGTTCAAGTGCAAAAACTACATTAAAATATGTTATATTTAGATACATGTCTATAGAAAAAGAACAATATAAAACCTTTGTTGACAAACAGACACGTAATGAGCGTGGTGGCTGATTTGTGCCATGTCTTTTTTTTCGCGGGGTGCACAGACAAAGACACGAACATACTTAAGTGTGTAAGAAATGTAAGTATGCAAGAAATGTAAGAAATGTAATATATGAAAGAAGAAATATAAGTGTACAACAAAGTAACTACTTCGTCCTCATTTCGTTTTACGTTCATTTACGTTATTATTGGTGTTTTTGCCTGGCGCCCCGCGGAGCTAAAATACGGCATGGCATAAAACAGCAGTATAATTAAGCATCTGTATGATACGCTGCTCGGTTTGTAATATAATGTTAAGTTACAGTCTCACTTACATCCCGGCAGAGCCCCGGGAGACGTCCGGGGTGATCCGGGAACGACCGGGGTATGACCAGGAACAACCGGAGTACATCCGTAACTCTGCCGGCAACGTCCGGGATGATCCGGGAACATCCGGCATGCGACCCCGGATGGAATAAAATATTTAATATCACGGGGGTGGTCCGGGATGATCCGGGAAGGTATAGCTTTGCCGGCTTCATCCTTAGCTCTGTCGGGAACGACCGGGGTTATACCGGTGAAGCACCGTAGCTCTTCCGGCACAAACCGGGGATGATCCGGGGTATGATATGGCCGGTAGAGCTACGGTGGCGCCCCGGAATATGCCGACAGAGCCCCGGTAACTACAGGCAGAGCCCCGGAGGATAAAGGCAGAGCTACGCTTGATCCCGGTAAAGCCCCGGGAAAGCCCGGATCATTAAAAAAGAATAACGACAATTTGCGATGATTGCACTTGTTTGTATTAAAACCCTTCCCATTTCCCTTCAATCCAGTATGGCATAAGGATTTTTCAGAAAATCATCATGAATTACTATTCTGGAACAATAGATATTATATTAAATAAAAATTATGTATCAATGTTATCATTTTCGGGCGTTTTCAATCCACCGGGGTTCTACCGGGGCTCTGCCTGGTTCGTCCTGGGCTCTGCCTGGATCGATCTGGGGTTAGTATCTCGAAGCTATCGTTAGCATAACGACTATCGTATACCTCTCGTTAAGGTTTTCACCGCTATCTCGACGCTCTCGCAATTAACGAATAATCGTTAACATGCCCAATTATTAACGGATGCCTAGAGGGTGTCGTAAGGCTCTCATTACTATCATTTTGACACAAAAGTAAGAAAGGTGCGATTTTAAAGTACATAAAAAAATAAGAATTATATCATTTTATTGATAAAAAATGATGAACCGACATAAATATAGTAGATCTTTTTTATTTTTTTTTTCTCATGAATTTTCACAGGCCCGTAATAGATTTTATTGTGTAAATTCACTCAAAGAACTCTTTAATACAATTCCATAAAAAATATCATAGATTATTGAAAGAGATAAACTTGTATTCTTGGATCTAATTGGCTCATTTCTATTGTCATTTACAAAGTTTTACATAACATTTTAAGCCTATTATAGCATTCGACACGATATGGCCAGTTGACGACCCGTAAAAATCCAAACAAACAAAATTTTTCTCACATATCAAACATATGTAAAGGTTCTTTACATTTTAATTTGAATGCGGATGAAAAAAAAAAACATATCATAACTTAAACAGCGAAAGGAATAATCTCCGTAATGTGTAATTTTGCACAAGAAAACATTAATAAATATATGCATACATCATGCTGAAAATTCAACAAAATTGAAACTAGTTACAAAATTATATTTCGAAAAGTAAACTGTGACGTATTAATTACATTATGAAGAAAAGTGCATTACGTCAGCTGCAAAAATCGGTACCACAAAAAGGGATGTAATATATAGAAATGTTGTTTGTTTATCATTTTATATTAACATATATTTCACTCGCGAACACCAGTTGTTATAATTTAACTCGTTATATTTTAATTTATAATACAGCAAACATCCTTTGTTTAAAACAAAATGAAAATTTATTCATATTAATTAACAGCAGCCATGTATATATTTAGTAATACAGATTTTTGACAGGTTATGTGGCCGTATATAAACGATAACCCGAGCCGCCAAGTGAGAGTTATATTGCATACAAAATTATATCGGCCATATATCCTGTTAAAAATCTTTATAACGAATTTACAATACTGCAGAAAAAAGAGAGATTTCTTGATAAATTGACAGCAGCTGTGTATAATAAACTATATAAACGCCAATTAAAATTGATGTACCAAGCTTGCAGTAACAAATTTTTTTATAATACTGCACGTTTGTCACGTCACTTTTCATTGGAGAATCGTGACGTTTTTATAGTTTTATATACACTGTTTCTGGCAATTTTATAAGAAATCTCACTTTTTTTCTAAAAAAAAGGGAAGTTCGCGGTTTTATAAATTCGTTATAAATATTCCTGACATGTTAAATGGTTGTAGGCAATATAACCATCGCCTAGCGGCTCGGGTTATATTTCCAAACAGTCGTTTATGTAGCGCAATATTACCTGTCAAAAAACT